CACTACAAAGCGTGGGAGCCTGAGCTGGGGGTGGTGGCATTCATCACCCCTTCCCAGGGACCCCAACCCCCCCCCCAACCCGGGCAGCCCCTCTCCCAACCTCTCCTCTTCCTTTGCCCCCGCCGGGCACTCACGGGGGGTCTCACAGCAATCCCACACTGTATTTACTCTGTGGTCATTGCAGACATTTTTTTCCTCTCCCCTGTCAAACCTCAGTAAGAAAGTTTATCTGAATGCAAGTTCAAGGCTCTCTCTTATTTATCTAACAATCAATAAGGGCCACATATTTCCCACAGTCCCCAGAGCTGGCTTTTAGAAAGGGACCATTGTCTGAGGAAGGCCCCGTACACCTGATTTGAACCAGGATAAGTCCCGCCTGACACCTGCACTGGGCAGATGATAAAGGTTTATGGGCTGAAGGGAGGTCAGGGCACACCAGAGCCCAGCTCCTCCACTTGACTCCAACCAGGACACAAAGGCAGCAGAGCCTGCTTGGTCCTGATCTTCTCAGCCCGATTTGAACCCCAGTAGGATGCTCCCACTCTGATGAAGTTGTCCCAGGGATGAGCATGGCCTGGCTGGTACCACCAGGACTTAGACAAGTCCTCAGCCAGCACAGCCAGACCGTCACCCAAATCCCCATCGCATTTGCAATCTGCAATCAGGTTTTTTGGTGTCTGTGAAGGGGCTGGGACAGGGTTCTCAGCACCCTGAAGCTCGTCCTCAGCTCCCCACGTGGGCACAGCACAGGCAGCAGGATGGGGTCTCTGCTACACCCTCCTCCAGCCCCATCTCCAGGGGAGAAACAGCCCCTTGGCCACGTCTGTTACCTGCTTACTGGAAGACATGTTGGTCAGCGTGCTGATGCTGCTGGTATCCGTCACCACCATCGCCGAGGGGAAGCGGGAGGTGTGGGAATACTGGGGAGGCTCCTGTTTGTGTGCATACACTGCGGAGAGGAGGGAGACAAGCAGCTGTCACTGAAAAGCCACCCCCAGCCCTCATGCTGGAGCAGAGCAGCCAAGTGCTGCGGTGGGGCAGGTCACAGGGGTGCTGGGTGGGAATGAGCATCACAGAGACATGAGTGAGATAAAACAAGCCACGGAAAGAAACCACCTCTAAGCTGATTTCTCAGCTACCAGCTCACCCGGAGAAATCAGTGGGGACTAAGGGCTGAACCAGACACCAGTAGCTCTGCAGAGACCAGTGCTGGAGCAATAACGGGGCCAGGATGATGGATGAGCCTGAGGGGTGAAGCTGGATCCCTTTGGGGCACAGCAGGGAAGCGTTTGCAGGGATCGCAACAGACCCAGCTGCCTCCTTTGGCACAGCACGTGTTTTAGCAATAAGAACATGGAAGGAAAAATAAAAGTTTGTACCAAATGCTGGTGGGGGGGCTGCACCCCACCCACAGGGCACCAGCGGAGCGGTACGGGAGATGTGACACGGCGGGTGGCACGGGAGGAACACAGGATGGGGTGGGATGTGGCCATCCCACATCGCCACGCACCCCGCTCACAGCCCCGTGCTGGATGGTACCCGCGGGAAAGAGGTGGCAGGCAAAGGTGGGAGCTTATTTTCCATCTAAACTCATTTTCTGGTCCCTTCCCTTCATAGCTCCCACCCAGACCCTTACTGTGTGAGTTCTGCAGCTGAGTCACGGTGGCCATAAAAGGCTGCTGTGTCATATGGCTGGGCGACTGCTGCATCAGCGGCTGCTGGTGCGGGCTGTGGAGCTGCTGGGAGAACTGGACCGGCTGTAGAGCTGCCAAGCTGCCGGCAACGCTGTTGATAACAGGTACACTCTGCGCCTGCGAGGTGTTCAGACCTGGGATGAGGGAGAGAGCAGAATGGGGACATCAGTGCCAGTGTGAGCGGGCAAGGTGTCCTCCTCCCTGTCACAGGAAGGGGGGTCCATATGGGGCACAGAGGTGAGCTTGGGGTGCGGAGGTGAGCTCGGGGCGCGCGCTTACTCTGTGCGATGGCCATGACTCCCGAGAGCGGCGTCATGATGAGGTTCTGGGACTGCTGTGGGTTGTGATGGGACAAGCTGTGGATGTTGGTCAGGGTGCTCACAGGGGGCAGTCCACCCCCCGAAACGGAGATCTGCCAAAGAACAAGGCAGGACAGTCACCATCAGAGACATAACCAAGCCTCCCGCATGCTTCACAGGGGAGATCTGTTGGGGATCAGCAAAACCCCCATCCCGAGAGGTGAGCTCCCACCGCCCCGGGCTGCAGACCCCGCTGGGACCCCTGAACGTCGGGTTAATACACAGCGAAGCAGCAGCCATGCAGGATTTTGCTGGCAGTGGCTTCCAGCTCCACCGGAGCACGGCACCAGGACACAGCACATCCCAAACCTTTGCCATTTTGTCCCCCACGTCCAAGCTCCTGCTGTCAGGGACTCTCAATGCTCATTAACTTCTACCCGTCACGGTTGTAGAGGAAAAGTGGAAATAAAGTTGGGAAATAAAGAAAAAAAGACAGAAAGCAGATAAAAAGGGCCTCATGGTGATGATCTGAGTCACCACTTTTGCAGACAGGCAGGACACTGGTGAGGTGAACTGGGTGTGCTCAGCCAGAGCCACTTCCCAGGATTTCAGGTCAGTGTTTAGGGATCAGACACACAAAGGCACTCGGAGTGTGCTGAGAGGACTGGAGCTGGTCCCCAGGACTAAGTGCCTGATTTCTTTAATTGCTGCACATTCTCCTAATCCCCCTAATGAGACCTCTTGCACTGAGCAACCTCTACCCCGATGCAGAGCCATCCCTCCGTGTGGCTCTTCGTGTGACATTTCTGGACACCACTCCGAGCACCTTGTTTATTTTGCACATGTGAGTTGGAGATTGCCTCGCTGCAATTGAAACAAATCCATCAATAAATTCCAAAGCCCGGGAGTGACTCATATTTCCTGATCCGGTATTTTCCACTTTCAAAGTCTCTTCAAGGCCAGGTTACACCACACTCGGGTGCACAAGTCAAACAGCTCACGGCAAGTGCACTCGCCTGAACCCCGGGATCATTTCACGGCAGGGCTTAGACCCAAAGCCCTGCACCCAAAAAAATTCCTCTGGAGACTGGGTGACTGGAAAAGACCCTCCAGACACTGAACGCTCAGGGGAGACCCTCTGGCACTACCACAGCTAAAGGCAACCCCAGAGCATGAAAGAACAAACCTCCAAAGCTTTCTGCAGCCTCAGTAACGCTCCTCCCTGAAAAAAAATCGATTGCCTTCAGATGCAGCAACTTCCTTGGCAACTTTTGGTTTCGTGTGGGGTATTAAAGGCACATGTTTACTCACTAGAAACCACAGCCTACAGCATATTTTTATTAAATCACTTGCAAGCACTAGCTAGTCCTTCTTAAAGATCAGAGATAAGCTGGCAGAGGACCCAGGCGGTCCCGGACGGTGCTGTGTGGTGGGATAATTCAGCTTTTGCAGCTGCACAGCTCTGCTGACTGCATTCGGTACGTTGCTTTTCCCAGTTTAATCCACTGTGATTCCATGCAGCTTTCTCCCGTGCAGCCTGTGAGCTCCCTCTGCCCCATCCAAGGGTCCCCGTGCTCCCCCAAACACAAACTCTGTAAAAGTCCCAAACACAAACTCTGCAAAAGGAGCTGGCAGGGGGGTTCTGGCAGCCTCTGCCACCCAGCTCAGTGTCCCTTCATCCTCATAGACCCTCACCCCTGGCACTCGGTGCCTCCTGCTGCTGCTGCCTTTATTCCTGACTCATTTTATGACTTCAAGGCTCAGGGTTATAAGGCTCAACACACCCCTGGGGAGATATGGGCGCGTTCAGGGCGGAGGGAGCGTGTTTGAGGGCTGGGGTTTTGCTCTCCAATATCCCCCCCTGCTTGGCAGGGGATGTTTGGCTTTGCAGGGTCAGCAGCTGAGCCTGGGGGGCTGCAGAGACCCTCACGAGCCAGAGCGTGGCAGAAGGAAAGGCAAAATTAAACCGTGCCATAGCTGAGGGAGGGGAGGATGAGCCCCTCCACAGCCACCCAGCTTCACGAGGAGACTGACACGACGGCCCAGGACAGCGAACCCTCCGAAAATGGAAGTGAAAACTGGAGGAGAGCGAGCTTGGCCCCGCCACCCAGTGCCATGTTTGACTTTCGCTTTCAACGAGGAAAAAAAAAACCCTCCTCCCGGAAGAGCAGCGGCCGCCCCCCCCCGGCCTGCTCCGGGGCAGGGCTGTGCTGTCCTGTCCCATCCTGCCCCGGCCCCCTGTGCCCCCTCCTCGCCCCGCTCCTTCCTCCGAAGGGCTTTGCACCAGCCGGGCAAGCGCAGAGAGGAGCAGCCCAAGCGCTCGGGCACTGGAAACCCAGCCCAGCCCTGTATTTACAACCACTTCTTTTGTAGTGGTCTTGCAGCACCCGGCATGGGGAGGCATCAGGCACACGGTGGGGATGCTGATGTCCCATCTCCGCTGCCTGTCACAGAGGGAATTTGCAGCTCTGCCCAGCAAATCCCTTATGGCAGAGCCTGGAGCATGTGGGAATGGGACAGGGAAAGGTGGGAGCTCCGAGGTCAGAGCTGGCACTAGCAGGTTAGATACCTGGGGTGATGCCCTGTCACAAGGAGATCCCTACCTGCAAGGAAAGCGCTTCCCCAGTGAAACTCCAAACTAAGGAGGACTTGGGGAAAAAATAATGAATGAGCATTTTATCGACACCCATGTCATCGGCAGGAGAAAACAAACAGTGATCCACCCAGCGCGCATTCAATCCGCGAGGCACGCAATCAATAAAAACCAGAGCGGGGCTCTGTCAGATCACAAGGAGATCCCTACCTGCAAGGAAAGCGCTTCCCCAGTGAAACTCCAAACTAAGGAGGACTTGGGGAAAAAATAATGAATGAGCATTTTATCGACACCCATGTCATCGGCAGGAGAAAACAAACAGTGATCCACCCAGCGCGCATTCAATCCGCGAGGCACGCAATCAATAAAAACCAGAGCGGGGCTCTGTCAGATTTATGGGCCGTGCTCAGAAAACACCCCATTGCCCGTGGGGGAGCGCGGGGGCCAAGCGTCGCCTTTGAGGCGGGCGGTGGGGACGGTCGC